CATGAAATTATCACTATTACTTTTCCTGTTTACCAGTGGTGGTAAAGTATTTAACACTCATCTATCTTTGCAGACAAGCATGAGGCTAAATTAAAAGGAGTAATATACTTCCAAGCCATCGAAGAAGTGTATTATGATCACCTCAAGAATGCTAATAAGGTAAATACCAATTTCCCAAATATCTGCAATTTTGGGGTTTTGTTGTTGTTGTTTGGTACTTAGGGCCTTATGCACTCTAGGCAATTGCTTTATCCTCAGTCCTTTTTTATTTTTTGAGACAGGGTCTCACTACCTTGCCTAGACTGGCCTTGAACTTGCATTGCTCATGCATCAGCCTCCTGAGTAGCTGGGGTTAAAAACACGTGTCAGTAGGCCTGGCTAATTTCTGCTATTTGAATACATAATTAAGTTAGGGGAGAAAATAGGTATTTGGGGATTATAAGTGATTTAGGTGTTGCGCTCTGGCAGGATAGAGAAATATGTTCAGAAGGGTGCAGGGAACTTAAAACTGGAGTGAGTTGGACAGATTTTGTGACAAAAAAAGTCAAGAAAAGATTCTGGATATAGGGGGTTGGGAAATACTGAAAAGCCACTTTGCAAGCACTTTGGGAAGGAGCTGTGTAATTAGGAGGGAGAATCATAATTTGACAGGATCTTAATAGGGCTAAGAATGATCACTCTTATTCATAAAGTACCTCTCATCAGCTAGGTCCTATGCAAACTAGTCACAAAGAGAATGGTGAGTTGTACCTGAGATATCTTGTATATAAAGGCAAGAGAGATGGTCAATCCTGCAGAAGGTGGGAGATGGCGTGGGAGTTATAGTGGAATATATGTGATACAAGTAGAAATTTCTATTAAGGGCAACTTAAAAAATATTTTATTATGTTTGTTTTATGTGTATGCATGTATCACCTGTATGCATGTATGTAAGTGAACTTGTGCAATGCCCATGGAGGTTAGAAGGTGACATCGGATCCCCTGGAACTGGAGTCATAGACAGTTGTTAGCCACCATGTGGGTCCTGGGAATTGAACCCAGGTCCTCTGCAAGAACAGCTAGTGCTCTTAACTGCTAAGCCATCTCTCCAGCCCTCTGAAGGGCAACTTTTAAAGCAGAAAAACCCTTCACACATGTCAGTGTTATTTAACGTTTCACTTTTAAGGCGTTTCTTTGACATTCTTTTCTTGTTTTGAATTTCAGAGTCCTAATCCGTTACTCACCTTTAGCGTGAAGACACATGATAGAATCTATTACATGGTAGCTCCAGCACCCGAGGCCATGAGGATCTGGATGGACGTTATAGTCACGGGGGCAGAAGGATACAGCCCACTTCCTATTGTAGTGAACTGAGGCAATGCTCTCACTCCAGGGCAGACTGCAATAGTGTCTTGCAAAAATGAAGCCACATTCCATCTCAGATGGAAAGACCTAAGAGATCCATCCCTTTATTTAGCATTGTGTACTCTGAAATCTTTTCATATCAAAGAACCTTTTTTTTTTTTTTTTTTTTTTTTTTTTTTTTTGTCTTTTTGAGACAGGGTCTCCCTGTAGCCCCAGCTGTCATGGAACTCACTATATAGACCAGGCTGGCCTCGAACTCACAAGGATCCGCCTGCCTCTGAAATCCCCATTTTCTTTTCTATAAAAGGCTCTTTTATAGAAAAGAAAATGGGGGTTTCAGTTCAAAGCTTGATCATAAACAGCAAAAGGACTGAAACTCCTATGGCCAAAACAAAGAAACAAACAAACAAACAAACAAACAAACCCCCACATACAGCAACACTTATATGAGCATTTCTAGTAAACTTTTTATCAGTTGATTTTGGCTAAATAAACTTAACAGTTTACACAATATCTGTATATATGTACTTAGAAATAGGGAACTTATCTAAATCATTGTCATTGATAATATTGGTAAGCAACTGGCTTTTTTGGAAGTAGCATTTTATAAATATAAGCAAATAATGACTTGGAGGGGAATGTTTTAGAGGCTTCACCTTAATTTTTAAATACTGCACCAAAACCAAAGACCTGGCTTGACTCTGATTAGTGTTGTTCTATACTTTAAAATGATATTTTGATGCTGACTTTGCAGTGTCATCACCAGTGTAAGCTGCTGTAGTGCGCACATAGTAAAACACTTCTTGTAAAAGAATGAAAACCAAAAAGCTCTGTGTCTTATGAAAAGGTCATCTTAGACAGCAGACCCTTCAGAACACTGGGCAGTTTTAATTAAAGAGAACATTTATGGTAGGACCTTGTTTTACTGAAGATTTTTCCATTCCTGGTACTAAGAAAAAAAGGCAACCAGTAGCCAATTTTTCTTAGATTGACTGATTTCTCTTTGTTATGGGGCAAGCCTGCTAATTACACTCAAATGTGAAATCTATGAAATCATGTCTGTTTCACCAAAGAACAGAAAAATTAAAATTCTTGTCTTCAGAAGGCAAGTAAAATTCAGTTTAACATTATGATAGTATATCATATATATATATCTTTATAATTATCCTTTGTTTTAGAGTTAATTTTTGTTGAATGACTTCAGGCAAATCTCTTTTATAAATGGTTTTTCAAGTGCCATTTATTTTAGTTTTTGTGTTTTGTGTTGTGTGTTTGTTAAGTATGAGTGTACTCTTTCCTAAAACATGGCAAAGGAATAGTAGAAATTAATGACATTACTTAGGAGTACAAGG